TTCTTCCCGCCCTTCAGGGCCAGCTGCTCAGCCTCATCCAGACGGTGCTGCAGGTCCTTCACCGTCTGCTCCAGGTTCTTCTTCATGCGCTCCAGGTGGGCGCTGGTGTCCTGTTCCTTCTTCAGCTCCTCAGCCATCATGGCCGCCTAATTGGCAGCAAAACACAATCAGTTGAGGGAGCTGAGAGGGTGCATCAAGATTCAGGTTGGATCGCCCTGTTACCCTCTGCTCACATCAGTGATGGCCTTCTTGGCCTTCTCTTCTGCATTGCGAGCTTCCTGGACAATGTCCTCCATCTCTCCCTGGATTTGGGAAATGTCTGTCTCCAGCTTCTTCTTGGTGTTGATCAGGCTGGTGTTCTGGTTTAAATATAAAATTTAGAAATACTAAGAACATGAGAACAAAATTAGAGTACCTGCAATTCTAATGAACTCACAAACTCATGAAATTCATGAATTGGTATCACTTATTCTATAAATTATTTGCATTGATAATATGTTTTCAAAAGACCATCAATTCTGAATGTCACAATTCAGATAAACAGAAGTATTGTTAATCCAAAATAGTAATTCTATTAGACTGTATCTTCTGTGATTTTTAAATGGCACTTAGATTTGAGTAAAACTTTCATTTTCATTACTTTTTCTACTATTCCATACTTACCTGGGTGTGCAGGAGCTGAACGCGCTCACTGGCATCCAGGAGCTCCTGCTCTGCCATTTTCCTGCTCCTCTCCGTCTGTTCCAGGGTGGCCCGCAGCTCCTCAATCTCAGCCTGCAGCAGGTTGGCTCTGCGCTCTACCATGGCTAGCTGCTCCTTCAGGTCCTCCTGGCCCCGGAGAGCATCGTCCAGGTGGATCTGCGTGTCCTGTAGAGTGAATGATCATTGAGACACCTCACTGTCAAGGCTGCTGTCAGCCCAAACTCCTGGGACCATCTTTCGGTGCCACTGACCTTGAGGATGCCTTGGGTGTTCCTGTAGTTCCTCAGGGCCTCTGCAGCCATGCGGTTGGAGTGGTTCAGCTGGATCTCCATCTCATTGAGGTCTCCCTCCATCTTCTTCTTGATCCTGATGGCATCATTCCTGCTCCTGATCTCAGCGTCCAGTGTGCTCTGCATGGACTCCACCACTCTGATGTGGTTTCTCTTCAGCTGGTCAATTTCCTCATCCTTTTCAGCGATTTTCCTATCAATTTCAGACTTGACTTGGTTCAGCTCTAGCTGGATGCGCAGAATCTTTCCCTCTTCGTGTTCCAGAGATGCCTTAATGACAGCAAAGGATTGACATTAGCAGGGAATGGAAGTACGTATATTCTAGAAATGGGAATCAGTTCCTACTTTTGTGATGCCATACTTGTTTGATTCCACTGTTAGAAATTTCTATAATTTGGTGGTGTTCCTTTTATATAATTTTTAACCCAGCTAAAGCTTGCCTTACTCATCTTTGTTTTCTCAGTCTTTCACTCAGGTATGCCAAACAGTTATGTTAATTGTATTTATAGTCAATTCTCCACCTCATATATTTAGGACACAGAGAAAAAAAAGTATTTTTCTTCTCTCTTGATTCACCCTAATGCCTCTTGCAGTTGTTTTAGATTGTACAATAAAATGTCTACCTCTGCCTCTTCTAAAGCAGCCTGAAGTTCTGACTTTTCTTGTTCAATTTGCTTCTTTATTTTTTCCAGTTCATGGATACGCTTCCCTCCTTCTGCAATCTGCTCAGTGAGGTCAGAAATCTCCTCTGTTGGACAAAAGCATAACAATTTACTCAGTGAGGAAAATCATTCTTTCCAATCTTTTGTAATAGAAAAGATAAAATGGGCTCACGTTGCAAATTCTTATTTTCCCTCTTCAAGGTTTCAAGATGGTCTAGGGATTCCTCATAAGCATTCTTAATCTTGAACAGTTCTGTGCTGAGTGAGCGGGATTCCTTTTGAGAAGCTTCAAGTTCAGCATGAGTTTCTTCATACTTCTGTTTCCATTCTGCCAGGATCTGAAAAGAGATGATCAAGTGGACCAAATTTAGTGGAGAAAGTTTGATAGGATGAAAACCATCACAATGGCAACACACAACGTGGAAGTAATCTGGACTGAAATAACTATGAAGGAAAAGAAGAGAACACAAAGACCCACCCCAAACATCCCAGGAGCAGGAGCTACTGAGAATAGCTCTCAGATTGTTTGAATAAGGCACAGTGGAGGTAGCTGGCTTTCTTAAAACATACAGGAATGCTGAGGCAGAAATGGGTGTAGAATACCTTGTCAAAGTTCCTTTGCTTTTTGTCCAGAGCTGCACAGGCTGCGTTGGTTCTCTCCACGTCAATCATGAGGTCCTCCACTTCATTCTGGAGCCGCTGCTTGGTCTTCTCGAGGGAGGCACACTTGGCGTTCACAGCCTCCACGTGCTCCTCAGCATCCTGCAGGCGCTGGGCCAGCTTCTTCCTGAAAAGTAAAATAAGGACAATAGATGTGAATGGAGATCAGCAGACTCAGGTGTTGTGAAGAGGGTTTAAGAATCAGACTCCAGGCCCTCCCTAGCGGCGCAGCGGGTTAAAGCACAGCACTAAGAAGCTAAAGCCACTTCCGCATGAGTTCGATTCCCTCCTGCCCTGGAGGTGACCACATGGCGCGGCAGACCTCTCCTGACCCGCCCGCTGCTCCCCTCAGCAGTGTACTTCATCATTCAGGCTGTTCTGCTCCCCACTCTGTCTCTGGTGAATCCCCTCACCACCCCTGCACCTCTGGCCTGTACCCCAGTTCTGTACGCATAAATAAACAAATCTTAAAAAAAAAATCAGACTCCTAGTTCCCTCCATGTTTCAACAAGGCAGTAGATTATCTTTTTGCTTTTGCTTGTTTTTGCTAGAAGGGATTATACTCAGTGAAATAAGTCAGAAGAAAAAGAAAAATATCAGATGGTTTCACTTATAGGAGGAATATAGGGGAACCAAATAAGGGATCAGGGGAAAAAATAATAACAAAACTAAACAAAAAATAATCAGACAACTATAAATCAGAAGCAATATGCACGGAAGAGGGAGGGAGTGGGATCAGCACGAGGGTGGGACAAGCACAAGGGACTAAAGTGATGGTGAGGGGTGAATTGGTGATGAAAATTCTATGGGGACTACACCTGATATAAAATACATACAAATTAAAAAATTAATTTTTTTAAAAAAGGAGTCAGACTCCTTAGTACTTTGCTTTTCAGACTTCTTTTGTAAATTCAGATCTTTATTATCTTATTCCGAATCTCTTATCAACCAAATATTGAAAACAACCCAAATTTTAAAACACCTTATTTCATAGTCTGGCTTTTAGGCTACTGATGATCAGCGAAGCTAGCATTTTACTCTTGGAGTTGATTTTTTCCTTTTTTGTGGAATAAAACTATCTACCTTAAATTACTGTTATGTCTTGTCTTCTCTGAATTTATCTCCATTGGATAGAGTCTGTGTCTTGCTGGTTTTTGTATTTTAGTAAGCCTTCACATTTATTAAGCATGTAAATGTTATATGCATTAGTTCAAATGAAATATAATTGATTTGTCTAATTATCTAATTGTATCTATTCTGAGCTTTTCACTAACCCTTTAGAAAAAGAAATGTCCTAAATGTATATGAATTTTACTTTAAGACATCCACTCAGGTTCTCTTCTAAGGCATCCAGCATAACATAATTCCAGCTATACAATTTCACATAAATAATTAGATGATTCCTTAAACTTTCTGTTGAATAAGTGGGTCATGTCCTATCCAGATTCTCCTTCTTACAGTTCAGTCATAAACTTTTGATTGCATTGAATATTTGCCCTTACTAAGCAATGTGTTTTCTTCCTTACTGCACAATTTTATTTCTACTTATAATTTAAAAAAAATTCCTTTCAAATAGTCATATTTTTATGTCTTGAAAAGAGAAACCATGCTTTCAAGCATGATTATTATTCTCTTATCTACCCATTACCTTGGGCTGATAATTTTATTTTTGGCTAAAAGCACAGAGAGTATAATAAATCTTATTCTACCAAACCTGCATAGATAGAATGATGTCACAAGATCCCCTCTTAAAGACAATATTTAACTTCTTTGTTTAAATACTTTCTGACCTCAAGCCTTATTTCTTTTCGAGGGGATTTGTTTTTCTTACCTAAGTTTATGTTCATGCATGTTTATTGCCTATGTTTTGACTGGTTTGGGGGGCAGTGGACATTTCCTATATAGTTTTATAGCAAATTCACCTTGATAGTTCTATTTTAAGTAGTCTAGAACGTACTTGGCCTCCTCCAGCTCCTCCGTGCGCTGGATGGCGTCTGTCTCGTATTTGGTCCTCCACTGGGCGACCTCGCTGTTGGCCTTGGACATGGCCCTCTGCAGCTCGGCCTTGGCTTCCTGCTCCTCCTCATACTGTTCCCTGAGCAGGTCACAGTCATGGCGCGAGGACTGCAGGGCGTGGGCCAGGGCACTCTTGGCCTGATGACATAGAGACGTGACAATGTAATTTTATATCTTCAAAGTGAGGTCTGTGAAGTCCCTAGTCTCTTGTGTGCTACAGAAGAAAAGCTGCAGAGGTAAGCATAAACAACCTCAAAACAAGGATAATAACAGCAACAGGTAATGTTCACCTTGACCTCCTCTTCAAGCTGCCTTTTTAGTTCCTCAATCTGCTGTGTAAATGCTTGTTTGCCTCTTGAAAGCTGAGAAACTAGTGAGTCCTTTTCATCCAGCTGGCGTGAATATTCACCTATAAAGACCAAGATTCAGAAAACTCAACCTTACTTTTGAAACTAAAGCTCTTTATTAAAAACTGGAGCAGGCAAAAAGAGAAAGGAGCTGGGCCTGATACTTGAAGGGAGGACGTGGATTGCAGCAACAACAACCCACCAAAATCCACTGCAACCCTGAGGAGCACAACTACATAGAAAGGAGAAGTACAGAAAACTCTGAGACGAATGCTGATGCTTTGAGCAATGCAGGTTTTTTGGGTAGACATTTAAGATTATTTGATAGCAACCGATAATAATGAAGAAATTTATGGGAAAAAATGTCAAGTCAACAAATCATTCCAGTGCTTTTGGTCTGAGACAATAATGCTGTACTGGTTTATCACCCATGAAAGTTGATTGAAACAAAAGAATTTACATCGTGAAAATAGGAGACTTTGAGAAAGTTTCTCTACTGTAAGTAAAAATGATGTTCCAAAGAAAGCTCTGAAAACATTTTGGTATTAAAAAAAGGATAAAAAAAAGGGTCAAATATTCAAATATTCTTTCACTTCTCTCCCCAACCAGGATGAAATGGCTTGTGGATAACTATTTAGTTCCTACACTAAGTGACATTTAAATGTCTCCAATTCTTTAGGCATCATACCTCTAGAAACACATTATATTCAGTTAAAAGGGAAGAAATCTTTTTCAGGCCATTTTTGAGCAGGTTGTCTAGAAGCCTTGTCTTTCTACCGTTAATTAGTCACAACTTTCTTTTTTTTTCATACCACTAAATTACCAGGAGTAAATGTACTTAAGAAGATAATCTATAAGAAGCATTTTTGATTCTTTGAGAAAATTTTTCTTTTTTCAGGAAGTATATTTACCACTCATATAAGAATAATAAAAATCCTTGCTTTGAACTTTGTTCTAGAAAGAATGGTATATGAATGGATATGAACGAGTTAAGTGATCTGACTATTTAAAAGATGACCCCCACTCACTGTGGGGGGTAGAATTTGGTGTCAATTTGGACAAGTGAAGAGGACAGAAAGGAAATGCATACTCTCTAGTTTGAACAGTCAAAGCTCTATAAACCTCATCTGAATGCTCCTGCACCTGCTGTGATCCAGTTTCCCAGATGAACTTGGTAGCTATTGGCAACCAGCAAGACCTCAGGAAAAACACTGGAGTAAACATTTTTGACAAGTGAGCTCATCTCTATCATCTGTCACCTTTTCAATGGGGATCACACAAATAATGAGGTCCATAAAGTAATAACTTCTGGAAGCATTTTGAAAAGTAGAGATAAATACTTTGAAGGTACATCTTCAATAACTTTTTAATTAAAATTAAATTTGCTTAAAAAATAGGAGTATCTGGATCTTTATAAAAACAAAACAAGAAGTATTGACTGGTTGTTGATTAATACTGTGTCCACATTAGGTGGCGCCTCCCAGGGTGTGACTCAATGCAGTTTCTCAGCAAACTGAGCACCTAAGGGAGGCTTGGTATTCCAAGTCAACACGGCTTGGTGGCCCACCTGACTCTGTCTGCAGGCGACCCCTCTGAGCTGTCAGGTCATTGATCAGACGCTGCTGCTCCTCCTCCTTGGTCTTTAATTCACTCACTTGATCTTCTAGGGTGCGGCACATCTTTTCCAGGTTTCCCTGCATTGAAAAGTGATAGAAGGACTCTCAAGCAAGTATTTGGAACATAGAAATGTTCACTAATACAAACATTCTATAAGAGTGGCAATATTCATTTATTTTGAGAACCAGCTATCTTTTCAAACAAACAAAAACAACCGAGGCCTTAGATTGTGTGGGGAAGAGGAACAAAAAACCTTGTCTAAACATGCTGCCACTCAAGTGCCTTGTGGATGTCAGCCTTTACCCAACTGGCATAATTGTGAAAAGAGAACAATGATACCTGACTCAGCTCATGAGGCTCTTTGTGAGAGTCAAACCATGGATTATGTGTAAGGAAAAAAACAAAAAATATAATGTGAAGTTGTTCAAAAACCTTAGCATGTATAGGTGAATGGTACTTTTTATTTGAAAGAGGTTAATTTTTCATTCCGCATATACTTTGGGTAGGATTATTTTCACCTAACGAGTAAGTACTCTGTAGCATCACAGCCCTCCCACCTGTCTCCTGCCTTGGCCGGCAGTAGTCTCCCACCAATTACTGATAGTTAATGAAAGACTCCTACCTGTCTTGGAGAAAAATGCTAAGATTCAACCAGGGTTGTACCTTGGATTTGGAGATTGTCTCCATGTTGCTAGCAAGATCATCGATCTCCATCTTCATCTCGCTCTTCTCCTTCTCCAGCTTCTGCTTGACCCTCTGCAGGTTGTCGATCTGCTCCCCGAGCTCGGCCACGCTGTCTGCGTGCTTCTTCCTCAGAGTGGCCGCGGTGGCTTCGTGCTGCAGGGTGGCCTCCTCCAGGTCCCGGCGCATCTTCTGGAACTCGGCCTCCCGCTTCTTGTTCATCTCAATCTGGGCTGATGTGGCCCCGCCAGCCTCTTCCAGCCGCTCGCTGATCTCCTCCAGTTCCCGGGAGAGGTCAGAGCGCTGCTTCTCTGCTTTGGCCCTGGAGGCGCGCTCTGCCTCGATTTCCTCCTCCAGCTCCTCAATGCGGGCCTAGCAGTGGTGAAAAGCACAGTCTTAGCTAATGTGTGCTGTTTATGTCACAGTGAACTAGGCCAGTGGCAACCATGTACTGACCTGTAACTCCTTGATCTTCTTCTGCAGCTGCATCCCAAGAGCCTGTTCGTCTTCAATCTTGCTTTGCAGATTGCTCATTTCAAACTCTTTTCTATTGGAAAAGCATTTTAGGTCAGCACAAAAATACTAATATAAGTCCCCCCTGAAACTTTTGTCCTTGCTGCTTACTTTTTAAGCTTTTCATCAAGTTGCTGTTTGTCATTTTCCACGTCCATTGTGGATTCTTGGGCTAATTTTAGGTCTCCCTCCAGTTTTCTCTTTGCTCTTTCTAGATCCATCCGGATTTTCTTTTCTTGTTCCAAAGATCCTTCAAGCTAGAGGTTAATACTCTGTGAGTATTGTTCTTGGAATGTTACCATCTTATGGCCTAGGTTGAGCTTGTATATGCATAACTCATAATCAGCAAGTTATTTTGGTTTTGTGAATTACGCATATCTGTCCCATATACTCTGTTTCTCATTGCTACTTAGTGCTAAGCATTTATCATTTAGAAAGTGAGGTGCAATGCATCACCATACTTTCCAGTTCATTATTAGAAAGTCATTGTGCCTTCTGCATCTCTGCACTGGAATCCCTGGGACTGGTGCTTCACATATGGGATGCACACCATAACAATGTTTCCAAATCACAACCTTTGTTAATTTCTCCCTTAGTCACCGCATTTGCCGTGGGTTTACATTTGATATCAGATCACATTTAAGGCCAAATTTGTCTTCCACATTTCTTATTCAAAACCCCTTTGTCCCTGTGAAAAGAAACCTTGTGGATCATTATTGCCTCTGTCTTATTCTACCCCCTGCTCAGAACATCCTCCCTCTTTTGCATCTTCCCATAGCCTCTTGCCTTTCCAGCCCACCTAAAGAACCACTTTGGTTTTACAACTTTTCTGGGTGAATCCACTAGCTTTCCTTTCCCCTCCTTCTTTTTACACATATTGTCAGTTACTAACAACTAACTTTATTATTTTAATTCTATGTGTCCATCCTAGGTCATGTGGCAAAAGTGGTGTCTTACACAAATTAGTCTTTGGAAGAAGTTATAAATATGCAAACTCATGCTTATTTTACATTGTTTTTTTACATGCTATTAGGCTTACATCATCTACTTGTTGTTCAAGCTTGATTTTAGCTTTGGTCAGGGTGTTGACTTTGTCCTCTTCTGCCTGAAGGTCGTCCAGCGTCTGCTGGTGGGCCTCTTGGAGGGCCTTCTTCTCCTTGGTCAGCTTTGCGATGGTTTCATCCAGGCCTGCCATCTCCTCAGTGAGGTTTTTCACCTTGGGTAGTAAAATTTGTTTGCATTACATATTATGTTTTGGTGGATTCAGTTTTATGCTTGTACTCCATATAGAATAGTCAAAACATCAACTTTCCACTGATGTTTCATACCTTGTTCTCAGTGGCATGCTTCTCCTTCTCCACCTTGGCCAGTGTCAGCTCAAGGTCGTCGATGTCTTTCTTCAGTTCTGAACATTCGTCCTCCAGTTTCCTCTTCTTGGCGGTCAGCTCCGCATTGATCTCTTCCTCGTCCTCAGCTCTCTCAGTCACCTCTTTGATTTTGGCCTCTAGCTGGATTTTGGTTTTGATGAGCTGGTCACACCTTTCCTCTGCATCAGCCAAGGCATCAGCTTCCTGAGAAGGAATGAAAGACATTTATATTTTAGTTCTGTTGATATTTTCAGAGTTTTATTAATATTTTGAACTAAACAATGTATGTCTTGAAGCCTTAGATTAATTGTTATTAGTTTTCCATTATTTAAGAAATACTTATTGAACAATTGTAGTGATGATGAGGATAGTTTGTTAATGATGGGGTTTAGGATATACTACTCCAAAATAGCCGCACTAAAATACTGATTGTGTTAAGCTGAAAAAGTATGAGAAAATGACAGAAACAGGAAGGTCACTGGACTCTCCCCCTCATCCTCCTTCTTTGAAACAGGTCATGAATATTTCATGAGAAAGGTACCTTTCCTGTTGTAGGAGGAAAAAGACACTTCCTTGCAAACCAAGAAGAAAGTAAAACAACCCCCTGCTGACCTAATCCTTATGTTTTTACTTCTTCAGCATTTACTATTGCGGCCCAAATTCCTATGTCTTGTTAATTTTCTACGAATGTCTTTATTTGTCTAACAGGGAGAAAAACTTTCTGCTCTGGTTTTTCCTTTGAGTCTTCATTCTCATATGTCTCACATATATGTGAAAATTCAGTAAGATGTGTATGCATTTCTCCTGTTAAACTTTGTTGCTTATTTTTCAGATTAAATCAGGGACCTTAAGAGGGGAGAGGAAATCCTTCCTGCCCTACATGATTGCTTGTATTTCATGTGTTGGGATATTATTTCATATCAGTTCATTTTCCTCACTTAATATTAATTTCCAGAATGTCAGTGTTTGGGTATTGATCAGACTGCTACAGGAAGAATCATATCAGAAAAGTAATTCAAAGGGAAGACTTGTCTTATAGTGACAGAGTAGTTGGGAATTAAAGGCAGCACCTAGAACAACTAAGTACAAGTTAACTAAAAGCTGGTACTTTGAGAAATAGCAAATGTTTTTCTCTTGAAAAATTGGAATATAATCACTATGGGGTTGACTGTTGTTCACAACTGTATCCCAATTGTTTGGAACTTCATTAAATATTTACTTAATGCATAGTTGATAGGATAATGTTGAAAACAGGGCATACTATGAAGGGAGATGAGTATGCTGGGATCAAAGTTAATACCCTCTGTAAATATCTCTTGATTCTTGGAGGTTTGATCAACCTCTCTTCATTCTGGAAAATCTTGGTCTGTGTAAACTACCAGTAAAATCACAATATCCAGTTAGGTATTTACAATTTATCTTTCTTTAAATTTGCTAGTTATAGGTTCAAATCCATATGCTATAGAATGCCAATATAGATTCCCTTCCTGATTTCAGAGAACCAGAGGGAAATCCTTACTGTTTCTATTGTTGATTTCAGTGGCAGAAACTACAGTTCTCATATCAGTTAGGTCATAAAAATGGAATAGACAGTGATGTCTGATCAAATTATTCTACCCATGTCTCTGGGTATTGATTGAAATGTCAGAATAAGAGTAACAATCCTATCTCTCATATGTTGCATAAAAATCAATACTATTCATGGAAAGTAATGTCATTATCCTTGCAATAAATCAATTTTTTCAGGAACTAGAGAGTTTCTGGAGTCAAGAGGGCAATTGCCAGGAGGCCATACATTTAAACATGTAGAATACTGTTTTCAAATTACTGTGCTTTCATGACAGTCTCCTCCCTCTGTACTGTCAATATTTTTCTTTTTTTCACTGCTCTTATTTACATAGTTCAGTAGGAATAATCTTATGTGCTAAGATCACCTTCTTTCCTGTCTATATTCTGCTGAGAAGAACAAGAGGGGGAAAGTAAAAGTGCTTTAAAGTGCTTTCATTTTTCCCTTCTCAATAGCAAGGAATCATACTATAGTGCTTTTTGTAATGTGTGTGAATGTGTGTGTGTGTGTGTGTGTATATATATATATATATATATAAAATTTTATTGGAAATTCTAAAAAGTTGTGAATTAGGAAAGACTGATAATTAACAACTTATTATGTGAAATATAGACCTTTCCCTAATAATTACTGACCTGAAATTTTATCATTAGATTGCAATAACTGAGTTATGACACTCACAGATTGAACCTGGAGTTGCAGGTCATTTTTCTCTTGCATCAAAGCAACCATTTTTTCTTCTAGCTCCTTTTTTTTGGCCTCGGCCTTTGCAAGGTTTTCTTTGGTTTTTTCAAATTCTTCCTTCATGTTGGCCATCTCCTTTTCTGTCTCTGCACTCTTAAGCAGGGGCTTGATCTTGAAATATAGCTTCATCCAAGGCCAGTGCTTGACATTCATGAAGGCACGGACATTGTACTGGATGCAGAAGATGGACTCTCTATGATAGGAACAGAATGTTCAAAGTCATAATATGACAAGGAGCAGAATCAAATGAGGGAGGTTAATGGAGTTTGGTAATGTATTCTTATGGGTACCTTCTCTCCACCATCTTCTGGTACTCTACTCTTGCCAAGTAACCTCTGCACCTGGCCTGAGTTCGGGTAATCAGTTCGGCCAGCTTTTCATCTCGCATCTCTTCCAGGAGCCCCAGAAGACCAGCTTTGAAAAAGACCTGTGCATAGGCAGAGTTGCAGATCAGACACTGTACATAAACTTCAAAAATAGGAATAGTACCATTAGGCTTGAGAGAAAATTACCTTGGTGTGACCAAATTTATACTGGGTATGGTCAATGTCAATGGATCCAAGGAGCTTCTCAGAAGCCTTCTTGCTGTCAATGAATTGTCCTTCAGGGATAGCACTTGCATTTAGTACCTTGTATCTGTTTAACCCAAACAAAGAAATATTAAAGCTGTTGCCACCAACAAGAGATCTTTCTACCTTATTATAGAAATATCATAGCAATCATAGCTACTTCTTTATCTATTCTCTGTAGTTCAAAAGGTGTCAAATTTTTTATATGTCAACACAGAATTTAAGTTTCTCTCCCTTTTTATGTTTAGTGGGAGGTATAAAGGATTCTTTCACTGAAAAATTAAAGTATTAGCAAGAACTTAACAATTCACAGTAAGAAGTCCAACCTCTGTTTGAAGTCCGCATACAGGATCCTGCTGGGGAAGCCCTTCCTGCAGATGCGGATGCCTTCCAGCACCCCGTTACACCGCAGCTGGTGCAGCACCAGCTCGTGCTCCATGGCCCCTTTTACTTAATGCATAGCTGATAGGATAATGTTGAAAACAGGGCATACTATGAAGGGAGATGAGTATGCTGGGATCAAAGTTAATACCCTCTGTAA